CGAACCTACGACAAATATCGAAACTTTTCTCTTTGCCAATTTTACACGTGTTGCTGTTTCTGTTGTTGTTCTTATCAAACAACCAACCAACCAATCAACCAAACTTTTTTTTCTCATTCATAATCATCTTCTTTTTTTCTTCTTCCACCTTTCTTCTATTCTCAGTAGCAGGGAGAGAGAGTGAGAGAGAGAGAGAGAGAGAAGCGAGGAAGCACAGAATCCTTAAAGGACCATTCGAACGAAAAGGAACACGATTTACGTGAAATCTCAAATCGATACTCACCGTGTTATAATTAATGGTAAACCCCTAGTAATAATAATAATAATTATTGTTATTATTGACGATTTGCAAGTTTTTTTTAATATGGCGATTTTATTTTACGAGAGATTCATCATCACATCGTTCGTCCATTTTATTACCCATCATCACCATTTTATTTTATTTCATCAACGTCGTATAATTATTCATTAACGAACCGAAAAAAATTTTTTTTTTTTTTTTGGTGTGATTGAAAGTCAATAATCCGACATAAACATTCATCAGAAACAGAAAAAAAAAAGAAAAAAAAATTATTAAATACTCATTTCCGTTTCCTGACAACAGTAAAAAATTATCAACAACAACAACGACAACAAAATATAAAGGAAAAGCTTTTTCTTATTTTTGAAATTCAGATAAGATAAACATCAATTTTATAATTCAAACTTTTAGAAAAAAACAAAATGGAAATTTATTTAATAATAAAGAAAACAAAACAAAACAAAACTCCTCAAGAACAAGAGATAAAAACAAATTGTTCCAAATTCGAAAAAGAAGAAAAAATTAAAAAAATTATTAATAATAATAATAATAATAATGTGTCGTTAAATATAATCTCCACCATTTTTTTTTTTTTTAAATTAATCTTATTGAAAAAAGGGAAAAATGTCATGAAATTTTTTAAAGGGATTCGAACAAAGGTAGAAATGATTCAAAAACAAAGAAAATCTCATTTAAACATCAAATTGAGAGGTTTGGCATATCATGAAATTACAAAAAAGCAAATCCTTTTTCAATTTCGAATGTTTCGAATGTACCACCACAAACCTAATATTATAAACAGATTGCCTGTGAGAAAATTAAGAAAAAAAAATTAAAAAAAACATTTTTACATGATTGAAAAACCGACAAACATTACTCGATTCTTTTTTTTTTTTTTTTTTTTCATTTCACATTATCGAAATGATTAACAAAACTTGAACTTTTGACTCGAATCAATTAAAATCCATCAATAACTATTATTATTATTATTATTATTTGCCAAATAATAATAGTAATAATTATTAAAACAATAAATTTTTACAACAAAGAAGAAAAATTGAAAAAACTAGTGAGAGAAAGAGAGAGAGAGAGAGAGAGAAATAAACTAAAACTTTTGTTTGATTCATCCCCCCCCCCCCTCTCTCTCTCTCTCTCTCTCTTACTTTCGGTACATCAAATGACACTTTTCATAATTATTTTCATACCATTTTACTTTTTATCCTTCTCTCTCTCTCTCTCACTCTAATTTACACACACACACACACACACAAGCATGTAAATAAAAGAAATCAAAAGTTATGAAAAGTTTTCGAAATAATCCAACAAACCACAACAACAATGAGAATAACGAAGAAGTCTGAGACGAAGATCAATTTGATCAAACAAATCGAAATGATCCAGTTATTATTAACAGGTAATAAAAAAAATAAAAATAGTAATAATGATGATGATAATAATGGTTATTATCATGATTATTATTATTATTATTATTATTATTACCATCATAAAATAATGATTTTTATTTTATAGTCTTAGCACTTAAACGGTTACTTTTTGTAAAAGTAACTCTCCTTGAGAAATAAATAATGACACTAATATCATAACCTAATATTCATGTTAATGATGATGGGAGGAAAGGAATAACGTTTTTTTCCTTCCTTTTTTTCTTTTAATGTTCGAATTCGTACCAAAAAACCAGATTAATATCAAATGTTGAAATTGCAAAATTATTCTCGTGTGTAAAAAAAGCAGCCGACACGAGAGAGAGAAAGAGAAAGAGAAAGAGAGAGAGAGAGTGATTATTAGTCTTTTTACACTTCACAAACGAAAGAAAAAAAAAAAAAACATGGATCGATAATTTACGAGTTGTTGTTTTAATATACATAAAATAGATAATAACAAAAATACATAATGATAATAATAATAATAAATCGAATCATTTTAAACGTAATAAAACCATCAACTAATTAAAAAATAATAAAATATGGCGAATCAAATAAAAAATAGTAAAAAAATCTCATTCCATATTCCAATAGCTAAATCAAAGCTATCACTTTACAACAACAAAAAAATTCGGCGTTGCCAACTTAAAAAATTTATTTTTCACAAAATCAAAGTTGTTTATTATTATTATGCATCTTTTTTTCTCTATTTATTTTATTTTTGTATGTTTCCCCCGTGAAAAAAGCACGCAAATTAATTAAATAAATAAATAAATAAACAAGTAAAAAAAAAAAAAAAAAAAAAAAAAAACGATACGATACGATACGATTTCGTCATGTTAAATAATTTGCTCTCAGACATCAATAATAATAATAATAATAATAATAATAATAACAACAACGTATTATCTAATATTATATAAAATGACATACATGTTCTCTCTCTCTCTCTCTCTCTCTCTCTCTCACTCTCGAATCTATTTTACTTTGTCGTTTTAAAATCACTTTTACTCTCTCTCTCTATCTTTCTCTCTCTTTCTTTACTTAAAATTATTATTTAAATCGTCGTTTAAAATAAAAAAAATAAAATAAGTACGATTAAATACGACAAATAAATTTAAGCGAGAGACGAGAGAGATAGAAAGAGATAGAAATAAAAATGGCGGTGACGAATTTTGATAGTTGTGCCCTTTTAATTCTCTCACTCGAAGGAAAAAAAAAAAACCGGATGAAACAAGAGTTCACTCATGCTCAGTAATACACACGCACACAACACACACACGAATCTCGTATTATTTATTACGGACTGTTATTATTTTTTTATCATAAAAAAAACTAGTTTTTCATTTGAATAATTAAATGAATCCAAGTCAAATAAGAATTTCTTTTTCATTTCACGTATATATACATATACATACACTCCTAGTGTGCATATATATATGTAAATGCAAAATACAACCGACATTTTATATAAATAAATAAATAAATAATCGTCGAAGCAAAATGTACAACAAACACACAACAACAACAACAAACAAGTAAAAATCAAATTTCCAAATATTAATAATAATAATAATAAAAACGTTTGAAAACGAATAAAGTAAAATAAGAAAACTTTTAATGAATATATTTTTTTTTTTTTTGTAAACGACGGAACGATTAGAAATAACACTAATAATAATGATAATAATAATTACTAAATAGAAACAAAATGAATTATTTTGTAATATCAAAAAAATAAAATAAATGACCCAAAAAGGTTGAACTCAAATCCGTCGTCTCGTTTTGTGTTTTATTATTAACATATAGAAAACAATATCTTATCGTTATAATGACAACCGAATAAAAAAAAAATTTATTTCCGTTAATGATGATTGATTATAACACGAGTAATTATTAATAAATAAATAAACTAGACACGGATTTATTGGCAATTTGTATTATTTTTAACAAGGTAAATTGATTTCAAAACGCAAACGAACATAAACATAGAAATCAAGGACGATATTAATATTAATATATATATTATATAATTTATAAGAAAATTAATTTATATATATATAATATTAAATAAAAGTGTAAAATATTTGTTTTGTTTTTGTTTCACGGTTTTTTTTTTAATGGAAAAGTATTTTAAGTTGGCCAAGATATACATACACACACACCGAAATAGAGCGACGATCATTCAAAATGGCGGACATTTTTGTTTAGCCATAAATATACAATTGCAATATAACAATGAAATGAAATTATAATTACGTCGTTTTAAAACGTTATTTAAATAATTGAATCGAGTCGAAATTCATTAGTTATGGATAAATAATAATAATTTATATGTATAATTAAACAACTTACAGAAATATGACAGCGTAGAAACGATTTACCACAGGACGCGATGTAAACACAAGGTTTTTAACGGTTTCCTCATTTTGTTTATTCAAACAATCACTTATTTAATTAATTATAGTTAATTGCACATTTTAACCACTTATTAAATGTTATAGATAAAATAAAAATAATTATATTATAATTAAATAATACGTTTTGGCTCCCGAGTCACCCTCCAAAATATTTAGACGGCAGCCATATTTAATAGACAAAACAAAGGTCTTCGAAACAAATTTCAGGGTTTTCAATCTCGAACCCAAAAGCTAATTTAAAATAACATAACGATTGCCAACTTTAACAAGCGCAAAAATTTCTTTCTTTTTTATTGAAAAAATAAAATCAACGTTTTTATTTTATTTAATTTTCTTAATTAAAATTAATATAAATGAGAATTTCCTTTCTTTTTTTCTTTTTATTTTTTTAATTATTTACGTTTATTCGTATTTAATTTTTTAAATTTTTTTTTTCGCTTTTCGATGTTGGTAATACTTTCATAATATTTTGCTTTTGATTCTTCTGTACCACGGTTTATAAAATTTAATAATGCTGTAGATTTTTTTTACCTTTTTTTTTTTTTTTACATTTAAGTATACGTATATATTTTCTTTTTAATAATTTTTCCCGCGTTTTTGCAAGGAAATCATTTATACAAAATATACTTTATCCTTTAATATAATATTGTGACGTAATTATTAAAATAAATCGTTATTGGAAAATGTCGATAATCGTACAAACATAAACAAACACGTTTAAAATGTTTTTTTCTTATTTTTTCTCCCCCTCCCCTTGACTGTGATTTATATTAATTAATACTCATTTAATTAAAAAAAAAATTATTCGTTTGTTAATTGTAATTGTACAATAATAAAATGTCTGAAGATTTTTACGATACGATATTAAGATGCGGTTTATATTTCGGTGCTGTTTTTCAATTGATTTGCATTGCTGCCGTTGTTATTATTCCTGATAATTCGTCTTCCGGTAGTGGAAATTCAAAGGTGATGAAAAAATTTTCATTTATAATCCTCATGCAATTCCATTTTTTTTTTAAATGTCTGCATAATATTGATAATAAAAATTTAATTAAAATGACTTTTACAAGTTATTGAATAATAAATTTTTTTTTTTTTTTTTTTTTTAAATTAGGACTTGGATGGAAGCGAAAATGAAATATCTGATCAAAATAGTCCATTGGCTTCACCTAGAAAACCTCACATACATCACAGATCAAGAAAACCTGATAAAAAGAAAAGACGTTGACATTAACTTATTCGAGTCAATGTACTTATCATTTCAGTATTCTCATTATATATATATTTATATATATTTTATAATTGTATTTTTAATTAATAACTCAGTATATACAATACATAAATGTTTAAATTTTATTTTAATAAATAAATAATTTAAATATTTTTAAAAATAAATTTTAATTTTTTTTCATTCGTCGTCCTTTTGAAATTAATTTAAGGAGCAGTCATTAAGAAAATAGATAACTCGAAACTAATTTAATAAATTCTTAAAAAGGTTTTCCATTTCATACCTTAATAATAATATTTTACATGTAATCGAACATTGATAACAATGAAATAAATCGAATTGTGCTTATTACATAATTATCATAAAAATGAATGAATCAAAAGAGTTTTTAAAAAAAATGTTTCGATTAATATAAATGTTTAATAATAATAATGATGCCTATTAATTAATTATTCCTTAATTACAAAATTCATTCAAAAAAATTTATCACTAGGCTAAAACATCAACATTAGGTTTTCTTTTTCCACAAAAAATACACAATTTATCAGTATTATTATTATTATTATTATTATTAATTAGGTATTAAAAGTCATTTATAAATGCCTAAAAAAAATAAATAAAAAAATAATAATCAATTAATCAATTTTTACTTTAACAAAAACGAAAAAAAAAAAAAAAAAAAATTATATAAATATTATTTAAGAATAAATAAACAAAAACAAACATGTCGTAATGAGGAAACAATATTGCAAACCTAAGCGAAAAAAAAAAAATTTAATGCGGTTGGTAATAATGATTACGTAATGGCTATTCGCAAACGTTTTTATTTTCCGTCCGATGTTTACCTTTTTAAAATATTTTAATTTTTTTTAATCATTTATAATAATTTACGAAAATGTCGAATTAATAAAATTTAATTTATATTTATATATATATTAATTAATAATTTATTTAAAAATGGACGATTATTATTTTTTTGTAACGGAAAAATAAATTCAAAAGAAAAAAAAATTTTTTTTTTTTTCAGGATGTTATCCTAATGAAAATGAAATAAAAAGAAAATTAAAAGAAAAAGGAAAACCTAATTTTTATTTTATTATATATTATATTAATAATAATAATAATAATAGTATAAAATAAAAAGATGCAAATTTATATATAAAAAAGACAAGAAATTAGTTCTTTTAAAAAAGAAAAAGTGCTTTTAAAAAATTGTGTTTAATATAAAATTTATTTAAACACTTTATAAAACAATCACACAATTTTATAAATATTAATTATTTAAAAAAAAAAAAAAAAAAAAAAATTTAAAAGGGATAAATTCGCAAGCATCACAAAATATATATATAAATAGTTTACCACGAATAATAATAATAATAATAATAATAATAATGACATATTTAAATATATAATCAATTATTATTTTTTAACATGTCTGTTAAAACTCTTTCAATTGATATATTACCTATTGTTTTTCTAAAAAGTAATTCTTCGATGAAATCTTTAGATAAACCATTGACAGAAGGCAATAACATTAATAACTTACCAAATCGAGCTTTGTGAGAATCTTGTGATGTGCAATAATCGTGTAACATTATGTGGGTTTGATCTTGTAACATTTCAACCTGCAATCGATCTTTGAGTTCTGATGTTTCTATTGGAAAGAAAGAGGAAGAGAGAAAAGATAAATTAAGAGAAAAGATAAATTAAAAGAAAAACAAAATGAATAGAAAATGAACGAGTAGAAAGTAAATGCATTCTTACCGGCTTTGAAAAGCGTCAATGCTTTCAAACAAGCATATTCAGTATAATCAACATTTAAATTATTAAATTTTGTTATTATTTTTTTAAAATTTTTAACTTCTCTTTCAAATTTTTCTTTTGCTTTGTTATTAGGTAATGACGTCACGCGAACTAAGTATTCTGCCAAAGAAAAAAAAGAAATTTGGGTTAATCATTGATCATGTTTAAATAATGATACGATGATGGTGATGTTGATACCTTCGTCAACTGGTAGCGTCCATTGTGCAGCACTCAGTATAAACAATTCATTCCATGTATTTTCTAACAAAATGGATTGATCGTGAAAAGTTAATTGTAAAAATGACGGAATGCTTCTTGCCCATTTAACGGTTAAAAACAAAAGTTTTGCCGCGGATTCGTAAACGTTTTCTGGGTGTCCTTGTTGAGATGATATTGTTAAATCCCATACATTTTGTTTGCTCACGAGTGAATCTACAAAAACGAATAATACCTTATATAGCTTTTGAGCTATGATTACGTCACGTCTATGACGTCATAAATACCGTAAGATGTATTTCGAACGTTGCGTGCTTCTTCCGAACTTGTTACTTCCTCTTCTTCATCTTCATCATCTTCTTCTTTTCGAACATTACAATTAGGAGGTACTATGATATTGGTTGTTGTTGTTGTTGTTGTTGTTTGCGCTTTATCATGAACGAAATCGTTTGTTTTCTTATAATTATTATAAAAATTAAAAGGTTCTCCATAATCTCGCTGAAATTATAAAAAAAAAAAAAATGTTTCTCCCTGTGGTTTTTAACCCCCCCCCCCTCCCAACAAAAACAAGGAAAAATTTGAAATTCTTACGGTTTTAACATTTAACGGATTTATCGGACAGTTAAATATTCCTAATCTCAAATTATTTGGAAGACATAAACCGTTATTATTATTATTATTATTATTATTAATATGTTTGATACCGAAATGTATTGGAAAAGATGGTTGTGGATAAACAAAATGATAAGTTGGTAAATCCAAAAATGGCCCACTCGTGGCAGCCGTTAAAAAACTTCCGGAATATGAATATGTATTACTATTATTATTATTATTATTACGTCTTCCGGTTGACGAGAGTCCCGTGCAATGAATAGGAAAAGATGTTCTCGGTGATCTTTCGTGTTGTACGGCTGGAAAAATTTTTCCCAACGATAAATAACCGTTAAAAAAAAAAAATTTTCACATTTTCACATTTTCTTACCGTCACGTTTCATGTTGACGGATAAACATTTTTTAAACCTGCATGCCTGACATTGATTTCTTCTCGTGACGTCAACAATGCATGAATTTGATTCTTTGCAATGGTAAGCCAAACCTCTGCCGTTAAAAAAAAAAACAATTTTTTATTAAAATAGTGGGGGGGGAGGGAAATATGGCGACGTACCTTCTTATGCTTCTTTTGAAAAAACCGCGACATCCATCGCAACTTATCACTCCATAATGTTTTCCAGATGCTTTATCACCGCAAACTTTACACAAAGCTTCCAATTTATGATCCATTCAACAACTGTAAAATATATTAAAATCTGTTATTATTAATCAATTACTTCCGGTGAAAAGTTTTGTTTTTAACGGATTCGCGTGCTGAACCGGAAGTTTGATACAAATTTACTCTATGTAACCCCTGACGGAAAAACGAAGGCAAGCTGAACTTTGTCTCACGATACAAATAAAATATTAATAACAAAATTGACTTTTCTCTTCTACAACATTTGCATCCCTTAATGATGGTCGATAAGGGTTTAGAGTAAGGGTAGTAGTAGTAGTAGTAACGCGATATTTTTCTCTCTCTCTCTCTTATGCAACCCAATAACTAAATTAATTTATTATTTAAAACCCTTTTCTACCACCACCACCACCAAACGATTCCTTTCCACCATTCCCTTTTTTTTTTTTTGGGGGGTGGGAGATTTCGTAAAAAAAAAAATTTTTTTGATGATTGGGTAACGTAAAAAGTTGTTTTGCGTGACTTTTGTGTTGCCCCCAAATGTCATTTTTTGTCAAACGTTTTTCAAATTTTTCCTTTTTCCTTTTGATTTCTGACTAATACGAAATAATAATAATAATAATTACGTACTCGTATTAATTATTATTATTATTATATTTTTCAACTTTGTTTCACCGGAAAAAACAAAACAAACCAAAACAAATCCTTAAAGATTTTCAATAGGACAGGTGTCAATAATAATAATAATAATTATTATTATTAATAAATCAATAATGATAATAATAAGAACAGGTGGTAGGGAAAAAAGTTTTTTTTTTTTTTAAATTATTTTAGGGGTTGAAAATTCGTAACTTTAAGGGTTAGAAAAAAAAAAAGGAAATAATAATGATGAAAAATCGGTATCAAAATTTACAATGAATTATTCATTTAAAAAAAAAAAAAAAACTTTTCTTTCTTATTCTTCTGCCACTTTTTTTTTGGGTTGGGGGAGGGGTTAGGGAGAGGAGGGGAGGGGAAAGGAAGGGTTATTAATTTAGTAGTTTACGTATCGGTGTAGCACATGCATTTTGTTTTTTTTTTTAAAAAATATTAATTATTTCGACATTACTCGATTCGCACACACGCATGCAAACTCTCACCCCCCCCTCTCTCTCTCTCTCTCTCTCTCGATGGTTTTAGGGTGTAATGTAAATATCATTATTATCATTATCACTACTTATTGTAAAATTAAAATCACTTTACGGTTAGTTCGAATATATATAGTTATAAGTAAACAAAATGTAAAAAAAAACTTCATAGGCTGTGTAAATAAAAATCTCGTTTAAATGTCATGGCGCGGTGAATAAAAAAAAAAAAAAATTTGAAAAGTGTCAAAATCAGGAGTAGTTTTAAGTGGTTTCACACTTGCTTCATTTCACATGAGAGAGAGAGAGAGAGAGAGAGAGAGAGAGAGAGAGATAGTGCGTGTGTGCGTGTGCGTGAAATAAAGAAAAAAAACAAATCGGTTATTTAAAATTATCAGTGATGATGATGATGATGGATTGAAATGATTAGTTTGTTTGGTACGCGATAAAGACGCCATTTTGAAAATTCCGATCGATTTTCTAAAAACCGGAAATGATGTAAAATTTTAATTTCGATACATTTTTTTTCAATTACAAGAAAATCTAAAAAGGTTTTACGATAAAATTTTTGTTTATTAAATAATCGACGAAATCGAAATCGGTTGTTAAATTATTATTAATTTTTTCCCTCCCTTCCTTTCTCCCCCCACCTCACCCCTCTCCTTCCACCCTTCTTTCCAATAAGTGAAAATCCATAATCGATAATATTAATAAAAAAAATTTATAAATAATATATATGTATATATTTAAAATTGAATTTTTTTCATCCCTAAAGTTTACGATAAAAAAAAATATTTAAAATATCCCCCATTGAACCGATAACACCCTCCCACCCGCCCCCCAGACTTAAAATCGAAAAAAAAAGGAGAAAATCGACAGATCATCAATATCTCATTGTTCTTTTTTTTTTTATACGAGATGAAAAAAAATTTGAATATTTTCTTTTTTTTTTTACGCTTCAATATTTCCGTTAACCGAAACCATTTTTTTATATTAAAATGCTGACTAACGGTTTTTTTTTTTTTTTTACAATTTCATACCCGATAATTATTATTATTATTATTATTGTAATATCGGTTTAAAATTAAAATTTGAATGTAAAATTAATAATAATGGTGATGATGATAATAATAATAAGCAAAGGTGATATGTGCCGAATTTGTCAATTGTAGTCGGAAACAATCGATCATTTTATTTCCGGTTGACCGATCGGCAAAACGACAATACCTAGAGAGGCACAAGAAAATCTGTAAATAAACCAATCGGAATATCTGTCGTAAATATGGAATGAATAGACTAGTCAAGGAATGGTACAAGCCCGGTTACGATAGTGGGTCCTTGCATGGTTCTGTATAATCAAAAAATTCACACTGATGAGACTGTGCCAGCCAACAAACCGGATATCATACTGAGAAGCATAATGCGGAAAAATGGTATAAACTGATTGAAGTATCCGTACCGTCGGAAAAAACATCAGACAGACGAAGAAGCAGACAAAAGGTTGAAATAGCCAAGATGTGGGGAGTAAAAACAGAAACGTGGGAGCACTGGGAGCCATGCCACCACATTCAATAAAAGGAAATTTAAAGAAGATTTTGAAGAATTTAAAAGAAGAAGAAACCATACAGGAAGTGACGTTATGTGGAACGGCCCACATTTTTCGAAAGCAGAAGCACTTATGAAATTCGAGCATTTATCCCTAAGGAATCGTTGGATAGAAATGACCTGGAAAAATGAACTTAAAAACCCCAACAAATAAGAATCTTGTCCTGTTTAAAAATGAAATAATAATAATAATATTGGAGCATTTATTCCTAAGGTACGGGATAGAAACCTGGAATAAATAAACTCCGACAAATATTTAGAAGGTTGCTGCGTTTAAAAGTGAAAATAATAATAATAATAATATTGGAGCATTTATCCCTAGGGAATCGTCGTAAAGAAACCTGGAATAAATGTTTAAAAAAAACTCCCAAAAAGGATTTTTAGAATCTTGTCGCGTTTTAAATTGAAAAAATAAAAAAATAAAAAAAATAATAATAATAATAACTGTAAAAAGAAAAAAAATACAAATTTTTTGTTTCAAAATTTAAAAAATTATTTTGCTTTTCTAGAATTTTCTAGATTTTCCAACGAAATTTTTTTTCTTTTTTTTGATTTATTAAGGAAAAATCAAAAGTTTTCGTTTTACTTAAATTGAAATAAATACAAATAATTAATAATTAATAAAATTTTCTAGGAGAGTTTCTTTTTTTTTTGGGGAGGGGGGAGTTGAAAAAATTATTATTTTAAAAAAATTTTCCTTTTCCAGTTTTTCTCTCTCACTTTTTTATTCAATTAAAACGATACGAAAAAATTGTTTTTCCCCTCAAAAAGAAAAATTACTCATATTATTTTACAACCGTTATTTTATTATTATTATTATTATTATTTAACGAAATTTTTATGAAAATTTAAAAGAAATAAAAAAAATTTTCTTTTTATTGGGAGAGGGAAAGGGAAAAATCGCGTACGAGTTTTGTATTTTCCCTGTAAAAAATTTTCTTTAAAAAACCAAATATAAAAAAAAAAATGGAAAATTGTTAAAAATTTTCTCGTTTTTCCTTTGAAAATTTGGAAAAATTAATATTAAAAAAAAAAAGGTTGTACTGGAGAAAAACTAAATAAATTAATAATAATGAAAATTATTATTCTTACCTCTTTATCCTGGAGATTATTAATGATAATAATAATATCACCGGCGGAAATTTTCTTTTATTATTTCTAAAAAAAAAAAAATTAAATTGAATTGAATAAACGGTCAACTTTGACCTACGGTTAAACTACAAATAATAATAATAAAGAAAAAAAAATTTTTTTTTTTTTTTTTTTACTGTTCCAGACTGCTGGAAAACAATTTTTTTATAAAAAAAAACTTACAACAAAATGTCGCTTTTCAAATTTGACTCCGCCCACTATTGAAAATTTTCCTTTTTAATCAACCGATCATCTTTGACCGTTAAATATCATTAAATAATCCCACATCGACAACGTATAAATCAAATATAGATCGGGTATTTATTTATGATAGGAATGTACGAGGGGGCGGATCTTACTATGGGAAATTTTTTTTTCTAACGTTTTGATTGGTCGCAACGAATCTTATAACTTTTTCAAACAAAAATTTTCCGAAATCTTTTTGCGATATTTGTTTATTTTAACGCCGCCGTGAAAAAAAACTTGTTTTGATGGGGAAGGGGGGGAAGAAGAAAAATTAAAGGGGGGAGCGATTGGGGGGAAGGAGGTTAAGTAGAAAATAAAGATGGGAAAAGATCGAAAAGTGAAAACAAAAAAAATGACCGGATTTCAAGCGTTTAAAAGCGTTTTTTCTTATGCAAAAAAAAAAAAATGCTTCGCACGAAAGAAAGAAAAATTAAAAAAACAAAATGGCGTAATAGAAAATTAATACAATTAAAACGAAATAATAATAATAATTATCTTAATCTTTTTTAACCGACGGGCATACAGGAAAACAAATTTAATAAAATTGAAGTTACAAACAATTTTTTAAAAAGTAAATCATCTTGAAATGTTTAAGAAAAGAACCTGAGATGTGCCTGAGAAATTACCTAGATGATAATAATAATAATGAGTGTACAAATTATTAAAATTGTTGGAAATTTAAAAGAAAAAACAATCGATTATAGGCGTGGATGTGATTGATTGTATTCGTAATGTTTACGGTAACGTGACGATTGTCGTGTCGTAAGAATGTCGGTGGTGGTGGTGAGGGCGGGAGTGGAGGTGATGATGTTGACGGTTTTGAGCTTATTCGAAAAAGTAAAAGAGATAAAGAGTCATCATTTGAGATGAATAGGATTGTGTGAAGCCGAAGAAATAAGAAAACAAGAGTTACAATTTAGCGTCCATTAGAGTGTGGCAAGTGTCAAGCCAATACTGGGATGCAGCACTAAAACGCTTCCATCGTCACCACCACCACCATCACCATCATCATCATTTTTTTTTTCTTCTGTTTCCACGTCAAAATTTTCTCGTAGGTGACGAGAAAAAAAAAATAATTTGATTTAATTCGGTCGTAAAATTGTAAAAAAAAAAAAAAAAAAAAAAAATTGTTTTTTTTTTCCGGTTCGAAAAGTGCGCAAATGTGTTCGATCCGAGGGTTGAAATTTTTGTGTTGACTTCGGGGGTTGTCATTTTATATAATGTGTGTATTAAAAGCGCTTATGTTTACCTTATGAAAATGATTAAACTGTCGTTGCCACATGTTAATTTTCACATTTTTCCATCTCTCTTTCTCTTTCATTTGAGGTTTTCTTTTATTTTCTTTTTCTTTCTCTCTCTCTCTCTTGTTTTTTCGCCCTTTTTCGGTTACTATTATTATTATTTTTCTTCCTGTTCGAAAGGGAAAAAAAAAAAGTTAAATTAATTTTATTTATGCCGATTACAAAAAATAAAAAAAATAAAAATTTAACTTCCGGTTTTTTTTTTTTTTTGTAATAAAATGTAGTAAAGGAAATGATGAAGATCGAAAAAGAAAAATGTGAAAAAGAAGAAGAAGAAGAAGAAGAAAAGGGTAAAAATGGTGGTGAAAAATACGTAAAAAAAAGGTTTGGTAAAGTTTAATTAATTTAAGGGAATAAAATTAGGGTAATAAAACGGATAATTACGTCACGATTATTACGTCATCAATAAGTTAAGGTTTTATTTTTAGGATCTGTTTTCCTACACACCTCTCCTCCCCTTCTCACCTTATTTCCTCAATTTTTTCCTTTGAAATCTTCGTCGGTGGTTGATTTTCGTTTTTGAAAAACTAAAAACGGAAGTAGAACAACTTTATTTGAACTGATCTTCTAAAGGTTGTTATTTGATTGTTGAATTCGAAAGTTGGCAACAACCGGAAATTGATGAAGAATCCATTCCAGGTAACGGTTTATAACTGGCAAAACTGGAAACGTCAATGTAAAAAAAATTTTCCGACGGAACAAAAATATTAAAAAAAATTCAATAAAAACACTGAAAAAAAAGGTAAAGAATAAAAGATAGAAAGAGAGAGAAAAAAAAGAATGAGAGAAACAGGGAAAAAAGGAAAAAAAGGGAAAAGTGAATAAGAGAGAGAGAGAGAAAGAATGAGAAAAAAAGGAAAAAAAGGGAAAAGTAGATAAAGTAAGATAAATAAAATAGAAGTAAAAGTAAGATAAAGTAAAATAAATAAAAAGTAAAGTAGATAAATAAGAGAGAGAGAGAGAGAGAAACAGGGAAAAAAGGAAAAAGTGAATGAGAAAGAGAGAGAGAGAATGAGAAAAAGAAACCGAATGAGAGAAACACGGAAAGAGTAAAAGAGGGAAAAAGAGAGGAAAAAACAGAGGGAAAAAAGAGAGAAAGAATGAGAGAAAGAGAAAAAGATAAAAGAGAGAGAGATAGATACTAGAAAAACAATTTCTATATGAAAACCTGTATGACGAAGCCTGGAAATAAAAATGAGTTCTAACAAAATAATAATAATAATTATTATTTTTATTACTATTATTTTGAGAGAGTAAGATAATGATAATGATGATGATGATAATGATGATGATGATAATGATGATGATGATAATGATGATGATGACAATGATGATAATAATAGTAATAATAATAATAATAATAATGACAATTTAAAAATTTTCTTAAATTTATTTAAAAATTAATAAATACATTTATACAAGAGGGACAGGCCAAAAAAAAAAAAAACAAAAATTTTCCGCCATTTTTCTTCTTATTATTTTTTTAAATTACTTTCTGCCGCCGCTTCTGCTGTTGTTGTTGCTGCTGTTGTTTCTCTTGATATTTATTTTATTTAAATAATTCTTTTTCTTTTATGTGTATATTTATATACGCCATCGCATTTCATTTGATTATTTTCACAAAAAAAAAATTTTTTTTTCTCTTTTTCTCTTTTTTTTTTTTTTGTTTTAAATTAACCAAAAACCCAAAAAATAAAAAAATAAAAAAAAAGAATTTAATGATGATGATGATGATGATCATGATAACGATGATGATAATAACAATAATACCAATAATAATAATAATTATTATAAAAAATTTTTAAAAAAATTATAAAAAATATGAATCAAACGAACACAAAAAAAAAAAAAAAAACAATAAAAAATCAATAAAACGGAAACGAAAATTTAAAAACGGCGACTTTTGTTCACTAACATTATTATTATCATTATCATCATCATTATTATTATTATCAAACGAATAAAATAAAATAAAAAATTTGTAAAAAGAGAAAAAAAAAAAAAAGGAAAAAAAACTACTCAAAGGAAATTCTCAAAGGAAACAAAAATTTTCATTTTTTTTCCTTTGCTTTTCCTTTTTCCATTTTTCTTTTTACAAAATTTTTGAGAACGAAATCTCTACTACGAACGATAGATTTCTCAAAATACATATCGTTCGATTTATTCGATATATCGCGTAACGATACAATCGATTTATCGTTCGATATATCGAAAATTTCACTAATTAAAAAATTAAAAATAAAATAATGCAGAACATTATCATAAATTAATTTTTTTTTTTAAAAATAAAATTTGATAATAATATTAATAATAATAATTGTCGGTGTTTAAGAGTGACAATAATAATAATAATAATAATAAAATCGCCATTTTTATTTTTTACACGCGTGAATATATATATATATATATATTATTACAATTTTATTTTCATTAAAATTTACCTTTTAAAAGCGATTAAAAACAAAAAGAAAAAAAAAAGAAAAGAAAAAGAAAAGTCGAATAGAAAAATACAAATCGAAAAATGATAATAATGATGATAATAACGATAATGATGATAATGATGATGATGATAAAATGAATTTCATTTTAGATTCTGGAAAATTTTTTATAATTTTTATAATAAACTGCTAAACTACATATCACAGGCTTAAAAAAAAAAAAAAAAAATTAATAATAATAATAATAATAATTAATTAAAACTAATTTTCCAGAAATCCACGTAATTCAGATTAAAAAAAAATAATTTACTCGTGACGTAAAAAAAAAAAAAAAAAAAACAAAAATCGTGATAATAATAATAATAATAAATAAAAAATAAATATGGCGTATACGTTTCGTCGTCGTTTGTTGTTGTTGTTGTTGTTGTAATGATGAAATTCGAATGATTTCAATAAAAAAAAGAAAAAAAGAGAATTCGTTAGTTACCTTTTTACGGCGTTCAAATCCCCATAATCATTATAGATTCTTTTCATTTCCGGTTTCCTTTTCTCTCTTTTTCTCGATCTATCTTTTTCCTTTTCTTTTCCAACGAGGTCAAATTAAACACACACACACACACACACACACACACACACACACATGCGCACACACGCAAAAGAATAAAATAATAAAAATCACTTTATGGGACAAATTAATTAGAAAAAAAAAAAAAAAAAGAAAAGAAAAGGAAAAGAAAAGAGAAAAAAGAGAAAGAAAAGAGAGAAAAGAAAAGAAAAGAGAAAAAAACAAATCTCGTGAAACAAAAAAAAAAAATAATAATAATAATAATTTTTCTTGTTAATCTGAAGAAACGTTTTCATCAGGATGTTAATATGCTTCTGATGGCTTCGTCCAAAATGGGATCAGCATCCGAACCTCCTCCATCTTCTTCGTCATCTTCATCATCATCTTCTTCGTAATTTTCATAACTACGATTGACGATCGCACCATCGTGTTCGTCGTTTCCGCCGCCGCCGCCATCATGATTTCCTTCATCCTCATCCTCGTTGTCCTCGTCTTCATCGTCATCGTCATCGTCATCATCATCATCATTTCCGTTTCCATCGCTCACGATTTTTTCTTTCCTCAGAGTACCGAAACCTTTTATTTTTATCCTCTTGCATTTTTCTAATGATTTATCACCGTGTTTTCTTTTTTTCTTTGTTCTTTTTTTTTCCGACGTTCCGTCATCACCTCCTCCTCCTACTCCTACTCCTCCCGTACCGTCCGTCGACAACGTTTCGCATTTTTGCAAATTCAATATGCTGTCAATGGCGCTTTGTACTTGTGCGTTTATATCCGCACCTGAATTTTCATCTTTTATACCACCCTCGGAAAACGTTCTGGTGATTTTAACGTTCCTTTGCCTATTTACGTTACCATTGCTGCTGGTGCTGGTGCTGCTGCTGCTGCAACTACTACTGTTCTGTCCGCTTCCGAGATAATCCTCCGGGTAAAAATGTGATGAAGGATCCGTAGGTGATTTGACCGACGACACCGTCCTCGTGTTTTTACATTCTTTCGTTTCCGATTTGATTTTGGCTAATTCTTCGTTTCGATTTGCTTCCGTCAAATGAAACGAGTCATCTTTCGTCACGTCATCACTGTTAATATCACTACTATTCACGTGTTTTATGTTTTTTGAGATCATGGATACTTTGTCTTCTCCGACAGCAACAACACCTCCTCCTCCTCCTCCGTCGCACTTGTCCGAATTCATTAAATTATTCATTTCCGTTTTGACGTCATCCAACCTAAAACAAAAATTTATTTTCCCATTCGAATATTTGACAAAAATGGCGGAAAGCCGTTTTCGTTTTCGTTTTTTTTTTTTTTTTTTAAAACTCACGTGAAATCAGTCTTAATTAAAGGTGTGTCGGGATTGTTCCGGTAAATAATACTGGGATTTTCAAATTCCTCCTGAAGTCTTTTTTCTTTCTCTCTCAATTCTTCCAATTCCATTCGTTCTTCGATAATGAAATTCCGATCGACCATTATTCTTTCTGCCGTGCTAACTTCCCTCTGAACAGAGAGAGAGAGAGAGAGACAAAATTTAACAATGAATTAAAAATGAATAAATTTCAAAATGGCCGGATGGCCAGCCATGACGTCGACACACTTACCATACTTTCCAACATTAAAAGATATTTATATTTCTCTTTCATGACTCTAAATTTATCGAGCAAGTGTTGAGCTGTTGCTTCGAATATGTCGTCGGCAGTTGCCAAATCTTGCAAGCTTAAAGCTTTTTCATCCATGACGTGATACCTTATCAATCTCTTGCAAGCGTCGCTTTTGCTTAAAAAAGGAGTTTTCGTATCGGGCATGGTTGCTCCCGCTTGATCCGTTCTCATTTGTTGTTCAATACTAAAATGGAATTCAATGGAATTTAATATTAACTCAAAAAAAAATTTTTTTGTTCAAAAGTAAATGTTTGTGTGCATATCTTACAAAGCTGTCCGACTCAATGCAGGTACTTGTGTTCTTAGGGGTTGTTCACTCGCTGTCGTTTGTTGTCTCGGCTTGATTTGATAAGTGGGAGATGAATTTTCCGTTTGTTGAATAACGATTGCCGGAGCAACAACTGCTTGAGGTTTCCCCGTGTTCGGAGAAGTCATCGTTCCCGTTGACATTTTTCCACTTCTGTATTCCATGTTTGCCACCGTTTGCGTTCCCATCTGCTTTCCGACAAAAAAAAAAACAAATCAAATATTATTATTATTATTATTATTATTATTGTATTCATAACGTAAGGCTATACATCTCCGAAACCTGTACCGTACCTGTATTTGTATTGGAGACGTTCCCTTTTCGCATTTCGTTACGTTTTTTCCAGACGTGTTGGGATTGACGTAAAGGGGACCGTAATTTGAAGTCGGAACGTCGGAGATTAAAACGGTCGGAGGAACGGACATTTTGGGTAAGTTAGACTGATAAGAAGAATTGAAATCCGACGTGCTCGTCCCACAGGAAATTCCCGTTTGAGTCGTGAAATTGGATTTGGAAGGTTGCGCACTGTTGTTTGAATTGGCCGAAATGAAATTTTGAGATTGCGTTTGCTGAGACGATTGAGAATTCTGATGAACCTGAGATAGACTTTGAGGAAGTTGAGATTGCTGTTGCTGTTGTGCGACTGTCTGTGCTTGATATAATCTACTCGTACCGGTGATCGGTTGTGAAACCTGAAAGAAAATTGACATTACAATTTTATTTTACTTGTAAAAATTTCAACGTTGCTTTTAAATTAACTTACGATGTGCATCCCGTGAATTTGTTGACCGGAAAACGTTGGCAAAAGTTTTCCGGTGGATAAAATTTTCTGTTGTTCTAAAATTAATTTTTGAAGTGTGGCTTGTTCGTTGGGTGTGCGACTCGGTTTAGATGATAAAGTTTGAATTTGACTCTGTATCGTTTTCAAATGCTGAAAATCGACATAAGAAAATGATTTCCTTTGTTACGAAAATTCAAAAAAAAAAGGAAAAAAAAAAAAAGTATTACCTGTTGTTTCGGTGTCGTCAATTGAATCGTTTGAACTCTTTGAACGATTCCCGAATTTTGACCGGGAGGAGCGTTAGGATGAACGATGGCCACGACGTTTCCATTACTTCCCACAATCACCGCCCCTGGACTCGCAACGTTGGTCCCACCCACGGACATTAAATTCGGCGGACTCCCCAATGTGACGATTTGATTGGACGAATTAATCGGATTTCCCAACGATACCAATTGATTGTGGGGACCTCCTATGGCCAATATTTGATTGTTTGACGAAATGAAATGATTTCCGGATAAAACTTGATTTTGCGGTGCGAATATTTGTTGGTTTCCACTGTTCACGGCGATTAATTCGCTTCCTTGAAGCGATATCACGTTCCCGTGATTGGAAGGTTGTTCCAGCAATTGATTCAAACTGGGATTGCTGAGTACGACGTTTGTCGGAGTCGTCAGATTTTGATTTTCCGTCGTCATTTCCTGTTCTTCGACGGGTAAACTCGACGCTGTGAATCGTATGCTCGTATTGTCCAAACTATTGGCCGTGATTTTTCGTACTTCTTCGTGAATTATTTGTTTTATAGCATCTAAATTTTCAATTTGATTCACTATGGGCCCCCTACTTTGTAAAGCTTGATTTAAACGAATGTTTTGCTCTGGCGTCAATTCCGTGACGTTGTACCTTAAACTGGGCGTCGTCTCCGTTTTCACATCCGCTTGAGTGGCTTGATTTTGAATTTTTTCCTTTTTCTTTCGGCCTCTTTTCAAAGTGTTCGTTTGAGACGTTATCACGGTCGCCGCAGGAGTCGTCGCAGAACTCGTACCCGTACCAATGCTGACGGTACCTTTCGAAGGTGGGGGGGTTTTATTCGCCATGCCTATGGATTCGAGGAACTTTGCTTGAAAATCGGAATTCGGCGTCGGGACGCAAGAATTGCTCGCCGGATGAAAACCTTTTATGAGAGTCATGTCCAAATTTTGCAAATCTTCGAGAGTTTGAGTTTCCGTCGTTTTATCGGCGACGTTGAACAATTTATCCATGCTCCCCGTTTGATAATTTCCAATCCCGCCCTTAGAATCTTTGATGATGACGTTTTGATGAGGGGGAGCGTTGACCGCGGAACTTACTCCGCCATTATTATTATCCGTCAACATGTATTGATCCAGTATGGCTCGATTTTGTTGTATTTTCTTATCGATTTCCGCAATTTCTTTTTCCGACAAATTTTTATTTCTCTCCTTGTAACCGATCAAATTATTCGTTTCCGTCGCCATTTGCAAGAGAGACGGATTATCTTTGACGACTCTCACCAAGTTAACTTTAACCATGTTCGGATTTATCGGCGTCGTATTTACGGGGGGAACACTGGCGGTGATAATTTTCCCCTTGTGATCACTCGTGTTTCCGATATCGATATTTCCTTTGATTTCATTTCTTCCTTTTATTAAATCTTGACTACTTTGACTGTTAAAAGTTCGAACACTATTCGAAACCGTTGTATTTGTTGTTGTTGTTGTTGTTATTATTTTATCTACGTAAAAAAAAAAAAAAAAAAAAATCAAAATAATCCTACGAATACGAAATTTTCACTTTTCGGGGGTTTTTTTTTCAAATGAACCTTATTTGAATCCCAAATTTCCCCGTTATTTTTGTATAACACAAAACAGGGATCAATACTTTTTTCCCCAATATTTATTACGCGATTATTAAAACGTTATTTTGCAAAATAAGCAAAAACTTTTTTATTTTAACCTCGATAAACAATAAATTTTCATTTTCGTTTTCATTTGTTTGTTTTGATTTTATTATTATTATTATTATTATTATTTTTTTTTTTTTTAAAGTCAAATAATTAAAAAATTTGACTTTTTAAAAATTTAGAAAAAAAATTTAAAAAAAAAAAAAAAAAATTTTTTTTCTCATGACATCTCACCTGTTTTATTATTTTCCTGCTGAGATGGGACTTGTGTGGGAGGTTCTAATTTATGTTGCGGATGAGGAATAATTAAACTAGGTTGTATCGTTTTCGTCACTGGATCGTGTTGAAATTGTATAATGCCCTGATGAGTTTGTAAATATTGCATTAAGGCAGGGCTTGCTACCAACGTTGGAACCCCTTTAAAAAAAAAAAAATTAGTTTTATTAAATTTATTATTATTATTATTATTATCATTTTTAAATCCGTTTACCATTGTTATTTGTGATGACGAGAGAATCCGGACCGAGAGGAGGAAGTCCAGGTGGGGGACCACCGATATATTCAGACTTAGTTTCTTGTTTTTGAGGTGGATGAGTAGGAGGAGGAGGAGGAGGAGGAGGAAGAGGAGTAGGTTGAAGAGATTGAGGGATTTCGCTATTGTTCGGTGTAACGTTGACCAATAAATTTTCATTATTTCCCGGAGTTTGATTGGGAACATTTGGTATGGGTGCGGGTGAAGCGGTGTCTACTACCGGTGTGCTGTTGGTACTCGCGTTACTGGGAGTGCTACTCGCGATACCTGTATTCGAAATAAAAATGTCGCCCGTTAATAAAAGACACTTTTTTTTTCTCTCAAATTAATTACGGTGAATGCTTACTAGTGGGAGTGGCTCCGAATATTTGAGAAAGTAATTGTTGATCGGCAGAAGACGTTGCGAGTCCTCCGTGATCTTGAATAAGTTGATTCAATTGAGTTTGTGCCGTTGCGAATGCTTGCGGAGTGAAATTGAACACATTATCGGGTAATATCATATTTTGAAGAACCGCATCCGTTTCACCGGATTCCGTTCCCGTGCCCGAAGAATTATTTTGAACGTTTTCCGGTATTATCACGTTTCCACCGTTGATTATGACGGGTCGACCGTCTTCCCCGACAACCACTCTAATTCCTCCAGACACCTACGAGTTATAATGAAAATTAAAAAAGAAAATTCATTACGAGGGAGGGAGTCGAGGGGGGAGGGAGGGGAACCGAACCAAAACGTACTTGTGATGCTGATTGAAATTGCGTTAATAAATCCGTTTCCGAAGCTGAAATTTCTAAAGGCTCCGATATCGTAGAGGCATCTTGTGAAAAAGTACTCATTTCAGAAGGCTCGTCGAATTCATCATCTCCAATACCTGAATATATACAAAATTAAAGGATTTTAAAAATAATAATAATAATAATTTTAACAAAAGGTATAAAATTACGTTAAAATACAAACCGGCAGATTTCATAAGATCCCATAAATCAACTCGATTTTCTTCTTTCTTTCCCTTCTTTTTACTACTCGATTTCTTTTTTCCCTTTTTAGTCTCCTCTTGAGTTGGAAAATTTTGATTCGACGACGCATTATGCTCCGGAACAAATCCTTGAGTTTGAACTCCCGCCGACGCTGTCATTCCCTTCATTTCCAACGTATCGTAATTTTCCGTCAGGTTTTCAAAATCGACGTTCAAATTCGAACCTGAATTATTATTATTATTATTATTATTGTTCGAACTCGGACTCATAATCAATCTGTTGATTCCAACGTTGGCCTCTTCGACGTCGGACTGAATGACTTTGCTGTGTTTTTGAACGATTGTCAAATTCGGACGTTTGTTTAAATTTAACGATTTGTTACCGGTCATGAAGACGTCGTTGAGAGAAAGCTTCGAAATTATGTCATCCGACGAAGGGGGGGATTTGATGATGTCGTCTGCACCACTGTTTGCAGCAGACGTTGGTAAATTGTTATCCGATTTTGGCGGCGGAGGCGATATAAGGTGTTCCGTGTTCGATGCCACGCTGTCTATGATTCGCGTCAAGTTACACAAACTCTTTGATTCTTCCGATTTTTCCTTCGTTTCCGTGTTTTGATTGATTTGTTTATTCCGATTGGCGAGAGAACCCGTTCTAATTTGCCTTAGGCTCGACGTTATATTTTTCTGAGTCGTCGGAGTCGACTGAACTGAAACTGGAGTACTACATAAATTATCTGCTTTCCCGAAATTTTTAGTTACAATCGTCCTATTTATCAAAACATTTTCTTCCACGTTATTAGTTCTTTCACTCTTGGCATTTCTGTTAACGGACTCTTTACCCATAAGGGTGTTAACTACCGTGTTACTATTTATTATTTGGGTATTATTGGTGTTACAGTTGCTGCTATTACTAATTACATTCCCCTTGTTAAAACTATTGTTATTGGTATTATTAGTGTTACTGTTATTGTTACTTTGAACAATGTTAACATTTTTCTTACTGTTTATCTGTTTATTGTCTATCACAATTTTCTTCTGCTCGTTCAAACCAGGCACGCAAACCGAACCGTCCACCAACGGAGTCCCTTTCTCGTCTCGTTTCATTCCGGGCCCGGAAGTTGCCGAAGCGTTGTTCGCCGGAAAAATTTGACTTTGAAGTGACATTTGATTCGGTAGAGAAGTCTGAGGAAAAGTGTTTGATTGAATTATGGCGGAAGGACTTTGTCGAAGTTGAAGAGTATTTCCGGAGCTTTGCGGTAATTGAAGAGTATTCGGTGTGGGACCCTGTACGAGAACGCTGTTGGGAGGAAATGATAGAGATTGATTTTGAGGTATGGCAATGAGTTGCGGTCCTGATGGGGTTTGAATTTGCTGCAACTGCATTGGGCCTTGAGCCGTCATAAAACGAACAACCTAAAAAGGAAAAAAAAAAATTTTTTGTGGTGAAACCCGCGAGTTTTTAAACTCAAAATTTAAATCCAATCCAAAAAAAAAAAAAAAAAAATGAAACTTACTTGCTGCCGATTTTGTATAAGTACCGTTGCCTGGGGTTGAGGCTGACTTGCATTTGCTATGATCATTTTATTTTGCGGAGGACCAGGCCCACTTTGTAGAGTCGGAGTTGGTGTCCGGAGCATCAGATGAACGGTACCTCCCGGACCAGCCGGTTGCACTATAACCGGTGCTCCAGACGTTAACACCTGTAAAATCGTGGTTTCACAAAAACAATTAAATACTATTTAAAACAAAAAAAAAAAATAATAATAATAATAATAATAATAAAAATGAAACTCACCTGATTCAACAGGAGAGCCGGACTTTGAGCTTGAGGTTGATTTATTAATAAGGGAGTTTGTTGGGGCATGGCAGTGTTCAATCGAGGTACTGACTGTTTTTGAGGTGAGTTATCTGAAAAATACGAATAAAAATTATTGACCCTTCCCATTCGACTCTTTACGAAACACAAGTTCAAAAAAAAAAAAGTACTCACTAGGTGGAATCGGCTTTGGCAAAATTTGTTGAGGCTGTTTTGATTTAGAAATTTGATTTTGGGTTCCACCTGGCATTATCTGAGTCCTTCCGACCAAGTGACCCGGCTGTGGCAACAGCTTGACCACTTGATTCCTATTTGGGACAATAGGTGGGTATTGTGTCTAAAATAAAAAGAAAAAAAACAAATATAAGAAATTATTTTTGCTCTCGCCCTCTCGTCTCTACTATAACTATTTTTTTTCTTCAAAGTTCCTACAAGGAAAAAAAAAGGTATTTAAGACGACATTGATTATTCTACACAATGAGCATGCCATCATTAAACGATCGGTAAATAAGGATAAAATCATTTATTCGTATGTTAAACTACGGGAAATACACTACATACATACTCATCACAACCTTATTTAACGGATATTATTTTTAATGGAGAGTACTTACAGTTGCGAGGGATGATGCGGCGGACTCGCAACAGGTGGCATAGAGGTTCATTGGCTCCTGCTGTTGCCGAGGCCACCGATATCTTCCTTCGCGAATAACAAGAAGTGTATTTAAATTGCGTATAAACGCGGAGGAGGCCTGGGAGATACGATGTTTAGTTAAAACAACCTGCGAATAACGTTTTGGGATTGGGAAAATTTTTTTTTTTTTTTTTTGAATCAAATAAACACGTTCGGGTAAATAATAATAATAATAATAATATTAAAACCACAGGTAAAACCACCTGACAACAAAGCATTAATTACCTTTTTTTTACGTTTTGTAATTGATCGTTTAACATAAAACAAAACGTCTATCGTAACCATGTTATATTTATTATTATTATTATTATTTTTGTTAAACGTAAAATCAATCAATCAATCAATCAATCAATCGAATTTAATAGATATTTGTGCGATGATCGATACGTGTGCGTTTTGAACGTATTGCATTCACGTTTACGTGAAAACTATTTTATTATTATTAATAAAATCGTGACGGGGAGAAAACGAAAAAAAAAAGAGGAAACGTGAGAGAGTTTAAAAAAATACAAATGACGTCACACACACACACACACACCCTCCCTCCCCGTTCCCGTCCCCCCCGAAATATAATAATGTGTTATGAGTGACAACTCACCTTATTTATTACCCGATGTCACAAAATAAATAAACGATACCCATCGTTAAATATACAAAATTGTCATCATTTTGAATCGATTGATGAGAGCACCTCTGGAACCAAAAAAAAAAAAAAATAATAATAATAATAATAATAATAATAAATGACGATGAGGCTTCATATTAATATTTATAATAATAATAATAATAATACCAAAAACAAAACAAAGCAATATATATTTTTTTAAAACTTTTATTCGACTCAGGTAGAGAGAAAGAGAGATAGATAGATAGATAGATAGATAGATAGAGAGAGTGAGAGAGAGAGAGAGAGAGAAAGAGAGATAGATAGAGAGATAGATAGAGAGAGAGAGAGAGAGAGAGAGAGAGAGAGAGAGAAAGAAAAGGTTTAGTAACCGGGTACCATTAAAGAATTAAAAAATAAAAAAAAAAAAAAGGTGATGGCATCACGTTCCTTCCTCAATCTTCTTCTGGAAAATAATAATAATAATAATAATAATAATAATAAATATTTTAAAGAAATGTTTTTTTTTTTTTCTAAAAATCTGTCTTCTGCTTCTTTCGTTACACCACAAACATCAAATCCCTCTCACGGACAAACGATTTTAAATTTTTATTTTTTTATTTTGCAGGCGTGCCTGTACAAGCTATACATTTTACGATAACCATATTACCGCCTTAAAATCATCATCATCATCATCATCATCATCATCATTTTCGACGACAAAATCTAATGGAACGCACCTTGACCCATAAAAAAATTATTATTATTATTAACATTTGAAACATTTTATCTTGTTTTTCGGTGAGGAAAATTCATTTAAAATTTTTCCTATCATTTTCCTGGTAAGGAGAAGAGAGAGAGAGAGAGAGAGATCTCCAATTCGTAATCCTTTATATAAAAACCATTATATTCGTTTCGATGTGCTAGAGAGAGAGAGAGAGAGAGAGAGAAATACGAAAAATGTAACCTTTTTTAAGTTTTCCTTTCGTAGCAGAGGGGAGGCGTCATAAGGAAACCAATAATAAAAAAAAAAAATTTTCCTTTCATAACAACCGACAAAACGCCAAAAAAATATTATATACGAATAGAAATAAGAGAATCATTTTCTCCATCTCTCTCTCTCTCTCTAAAACCTTCAAAAACATAAATCTCTTCGTCTCAAGGGTTGTAATAAAATATAACTTGAAACCTCTTTCACGTTTTATCTCTCGTGAAAAACTTTTTTCCGGTTTTTAAAGAAGTGAAATTTGACGTGAAACGCTTTTCCAAAAAAAAACAAGTTATAAAGGAAAATGGCAAAGCCCAAAAGGATTAGACCCGGTTTCTAAAAAGACAGAGAGAGAGAGAGAGAGAGAAAGAGTGAAATGGAAAACAACCTTTCCCGAGTAGGAAATACTCAAAAAATTTTATTTTAACTTTGGCTTTATAATAATAATAATAATAATAATAATAATAAGAATCGATAAAATATGTTTTTCCCTTCTTAATAAAACGAGAGAGAGAGAAAGAGAGAGAAAATTTTCCATTTTGCGAAAAATTTTTCACATTTGAAAATGAGTATTTTCGGGTTTATATCGGACAAAAACTTTCTTAAATTTAGGGGTAAAAGAAAATTAGGTTGGGGATGGGGAAAGGGGGGAAAGTATTTCCGGAAAAATGACCTCGTTACCAACGGAAAAAAAAATTTTTTTTTATTACGATTTCATTTTTCGTTTTTTTTTCATCCCTCTCCTTACTATTTACAAATGGAAATTTTTCCTACGGCAAATACGGTTTTCATTTTGAATTTTTTTAAAGACGATTTACAAACGGCAGCAACAACAGCAGCAGCAACAGCAGTAACAATAACAACAACAACAACAACAACCGAGAAATTCACTCAACTCTGCCTGAGGTCTTCACTTTGAGCTCGAATAAATTACAAATAATGAAAATTAAATAACAGCATTTCGTCATAAGTTAAACATCGCCCTCTCAGTCTTCTTATTTCTTCGACGTTAATTAACGTTGTTTAACATTTATATATATAAAAAAAAAAAAAAAAAAATTTTTTTTTTCCTTTTTCCTTTTTTATAAAAATCCTACCGTTTCCCCCAAGTTAAACACGGTGAAAACCAATCTTTTTAAAATTATATTTTTTAAATAAATTTTTCTTTAATATAAATTTTTTTGGGGGCGAGCCCTACTACGTATGTGTGTACGAACAACTTCGGGATACAATAGAAACTCTTCAAAAATGGGGTCCGTGTGGCGGCGTAACTGAGAATGAGAGAGAGAGGGGGGGGGAGGGAGAGAAAGAGAAAAACATTTGGTGAAATTAACGGGAGGCACCTACACGACCGCGTAAACGCCCCACTCACGAAATCGTATTAAAAAAAAACAACGTGAGGGGCACACAAAAAAAAAAAAAATAAAAGGAGAACTATGACGTAAGAAGTCAAAGAGTGAGAGAGAGAGAAAACCCAGCTAAACACACAAAAAAAAAATTCATAAAAGGGGAATGGCGATTTCTTAAAATTACTCTCCCTACCGGAATCTAAACAAAAAAAAAAAACATTTGAATTCGTCACAGCAGAAGACAAAGGTTTTTTTTTCCATTTACAAAACGTTCATCATTCGATTGTAAGTACCGTGAAAGCGTAATAAAAAGAATGCAAATGAAAGAAGGAAGGAAAAGCGAAAAGTCTTGTACGAATAATAAAAAAAAACGTGGAATTAGATAAAATAATTAATTAAATTTGCCGATGAGTAGGAAGATAAAATTCAAAACGAGATAGTGAGTCAAATCTCTACTTATACCACAAAAAGAATAAGAAAAAGCAAAAAAAAGTTGTTAATCACGCATAATAATTTTAATAACATTACGATTTGTCCTTAAAATAACAAAAAAAACAATCCAAAACCGGTTGTTGTTATTCAAAGCCCTAAAAAGTAAAGAGAGAGAGAGAGAGAGAGAGAGAGAGAAAAGGCACTCCCCAACAAACAAACAATCGTCTAAAAAAAAAATTTCTTTTTATAAATAATAAAAGATGAAATGGAAAAAAGCTCGGGAGGGGACCAAAAAAAAAAAAAAATATTCATTTTGAAAATATTATTTTGCCAGGAAAATTTTTTTTCTATTTTGACGTGTCACTAACCGTCGTCGCAATCATCGTCTCGCGAGAATTCTCGCATCATTTTTCGATATTCGTATATCGAATCGATCGGAAGAAAACAAGAAAGGCCCCGTTTCCCTCCTCCCCATTTCCGGTTTGTTATTTTTTGATCGATTCGTCAAACGCGAAAAAAGCAGAAGACATATTGTCTAAAAATTTAACGTGTCACCATCAAATTTAAAAAAAGAATCCCTCGAAAATATTCATCATCGACATTTTTCATCCCCGATTACAGCGTAGCCAACCTAACAACGAACAATCACACAACCTCATTTATTTCCCTCCCTCCCTCCCTCCCTCCCTCCGCTTCTGCTTACCCATTCCAAAAACGGTTTTCAATGAGAGAAAATAATAATGATAATAATAATAACAACATATTTTTAATAAACCGGTTTTGAATTTTAAAAAAAACCTCTTCTCCCTTCTTACGTCATATTAAAACCACAAATCAAAATGAGGTTTTTCTTTCTTTCTTTCTTTCTTTCTTCTTCTTCTTCTCTTTTCTTTCCTGCCACGTTTCCATGCCTCATTTCAACAACAACAACAACACGGGGAAATAACGAACCAATTTCTTTTTCTTCCTTTTTTTTTTATATTAATTTTCCGGTTCGTCATTTCAAATTAAAATCCTTTAATTGATTATCCTGTCAACGCAAAAGAATCCTTTCCTTCCCCGCCTAACATCCTTCCCTCCCTCCCTCCCTCCCTCCCTCCTTCCTTCCTTCTGGATGAAAACAAATTTTTGCCTTCCTGTATTCGAACCAATCAACAATCACGGGAACGAATATGCACGAAAGAAAAACGGAAAATTCCAGACGATACCCCCGATTGGAAAAGACTAGAATTGAAAACCCCCCCCCAAATTTTTTGGCTGGAAAATCAATGACGTAATTTAAAAAAAAAAAAACTATTTAAATTTGATTACATCATCACCGTCATCATCATCATCATCATCATCATCATCATCACGATGATTGCCAGAAAAAACATTTATGACGCAATGACTCCATTTTTATTTTTTTTATTTTTTTTTCCTCTTAAATTTATGTTCTGGAAGTTTCTTCTTTTTCCTTTTTGGATAATTTACATACCAATAAAAATGTGTGTCGGACATAAAAGAAAAATATATATATATAAATAGGCGTATCGCTTGGTGTTGTTATGGTGGCAACAACGTCGACATCTTGTTAAATCTCATCACTTAAAATGGGG